AAAAGTATAGGTGGAAAGTATCAGTGAAAAGTATCGGTGGAAAGTATCGGTGGAATGGATCGCTGGAAAGTATCCGTGGACGTTTATTTCTGGACGCGTTTTTGTGTGAATCTCGTGCTAAATATTATTCGCTGTGGCCTTGTAAATTTGTTGTACGTGGAGTTGTTTTTCTGTTTCGTAAGTATTGGTGGAAAGCATCAGTGGAAAATATCGGTGAAAAGTATCGGTGGAAAGTATAGGTGAAAAGTATCGGTGGATAGTATCGGTGGAAAGTATCGCTGCATTGATGTTTACTTCTCGACTCGTTTTAGTGTGAATATCGCGCTAAATATTATTCGCTGTGGCCTTGTAAAATTGTTGTACGTGGAGTTGTTTTCCTGTTTCGAAAGTATCGGTGGAAAGTATCACTGGAAAGTATCGGTGGAAAGTATCAGTGGAAAGTATCGATGGAAAGTATCGGTGGATAGTATCCATGGAAAGTATCGCTGCATCAAAGTTTACTTCTGAACGTGTTTTTGTGTGAATATCGCGCTAAACATTATTCGCTGTGCCCTTGTAAATTTGTTGTACGTGGAGTTGTTTCCCTGTTTCGTAAGTATTGGTGGAAAGTATCGGTGAAAAGTATCGGTGAACATTTGCTTCCGGACGTGTTTTTGTGTGAATATCGCGCTAAATTAATATTATTCGCTGTGCCCTTGTAAATTTGTTGTACGTGGGGTTGTTTCCTTGTTTCGTAAGTATCGGTGGAAAGCATCGGTAGAAAATATCGGTGGAAAGTAAAGGTGGATAGTATTGGTGGAAAGTATCGGTAGACGTTTTCTTCTGGACGCGTTCTTGTGTAAATCTCGCGCTAAATATTCTTCGCTGTGCCCTTGTAAATTTGTTGTACGTGGAGTTGTTTCTCTGTTTCGTAAGTATTGGTGGAAAGCATCGGTGGAAAGTATCGGTGAACGTTTGCTTCTGGACGTGTTTTTGTGTAAATATCGCGCTAAATTAATAATATTCGCTGTGGCCTTGTAAATTTGTTGTACGTAGAGTTGTTTCCCTAGCTGTTTCGTACGTATTGGTGAAAAGTATTGGTGGAAACTATCAGTGAAAAGTATTGCTGGAGAGTATCGGTGGAATGGATTGCTGGAAAGCATCCGTGGGCGTTTATTTCTGGACGCGTTTTTGTGTGAATCTCGCGCTAAATATTATTCGCTATGCCCTTGCAAATTTGTTGTACGTGGAGTTGTTTTCCTGTTTCGAAAGTATCGGTGGAAAGTATCAGTGGAAAGTATCGGCAGAAAGTATCAGTGGAAAGTATCGATGGAAAGTATCGGTGGATAGTATCCGTGAAAAGTATCGCTGCATCGATGTTTACTTCTGGACGTGTTTTTGTGTGAATATTGCGCTAAATATTATTCGCTGTGCTCTCATAAATTTGTTGTACGTGGAGTTGTTTCCCTATTTCGTAAGTATTGGTGGAAAGTATCGGTGGAAAGTATCGGTGAACGTTTGCTTCTGGACATGTTTTTGTGTGAATATCGCGCTAAATTAATATTATTCGCTGTGGCCTTGAAAATTTGTTGTACGTGGAGTTGTTTCTGTGTTTCGTAAGTATTGGTGGAAAGCATCGGTGGAAAGTACTGGCAGAAAGTATCGGTGGAAAGTATCGGTGAACGTTTGCTTCTGGACGTGTTTTTGTGTAAATATCGCGCTAAATTATTATTAACGCTGTGGCCTTCTAAATTTGTTGTACGTGGGGTTGTTTCCCTGTTTTGTAAGTATGGGTGGAAAGTATCGGTGGAAAGTATTGGTGAACGTTTGCTTCTGGACGTGTTTTTGTGTAAATATCGCGCTAAATTAATATTATTCGCCGTGGCCTTCTACATTTGTTGTACATGGGGTTGTTTCCCTGTTTCATAAGTATCTGTGGAAAGTATAGGTGGAAAGTATCGGTGGAAGGTACTGGTGGAAAGTATCCGTAAAAAGTATCGATGGAAAGTATCGGTAGACGTTTACTTCTGGACGTGTTCTTGTGTGACTCTCGTGCTATATACTATTCGCTGTGCCCTTGTAAATTTGGTGTACGTGGAGTTGTTTCCCTGTTTCGTAAGTATTGGTGAAAAGTATCGGTGAAAAGTATCGGTAGAAAGTATCCGTGGAAAGTATTGGTGATAATTATCAGTGGAAAATATCGGTGGGTAGTATCGCTAGAAAGTATAGGCGGAAATTTTATTTCTTGACGCGTTTTCACGCCAGATTTTGCTTCTTCGGAAGGAAAGCGTTTTCCTGTGTCGTCGTCGGTGTCGTCTGTGAATTTTAATTATGCGTAAAGCCGGCCTTAGGTCGGGTTGCGATTGAATGCGGCGCGACGCGACGCATTGCATCTCACAGCGACAGTGAGTCGACAGCGACACGACTGACAGCGACGAGCAGCGACTGACACTGGCAGTCGCAGGCAGTCGCAGAAGGCGCTAGGTCGATGTGACGATCGCCTATCGATCGCGCAACTAAATGTGTTCACATGACTTGATACTTTGTGCATGTTGTGCATATGACTGTATGCACTGATTGTTTCATTTGCATTGTTCGCTTTTATGCATTGTTCATTATGCATTCGAATCTCGTTGCAGCGGTCGCAAGGCAGCTTAGGTCGGGTAAAACAATGCAAGCGACGGGTGCAAACAGTCGCGTAGCGTCGCAAAATTATAACATGCGCTACTTGCTGCGACTGACAATTTTCCAGTCACTGAGCGTCGCAGACCCGTCGCCGGCAGTCGCAGGAGTACTTAGGCCGAACTGTCCCTGCGACGCGATCGCACTCTAAGTGTCGGTCAGTGAAAAAATCCTGTACTAATTGTTCACACTAGTACGTTAACGATGAAAATAGACAATTGTAAACAAAAACTTCAATAGAATTGTAAAGACAATCGAAAACAATTGTAACACGCACGCTGCTTTACTGGGAAAATATACACTATAATTGTAGTATCGTAACTCACAATAGGCCTATTTTAGTTGTTAGCGATTATTGCTTCGCTACTGTCTCGTTTCCCCTTATTTAACTTCTATTATTATTATTATTATTATTATTATTATTTTATTCCGCGGCGGCGGCACATACGTGTAGGTGGTGTGGGGGAGCATTGCGGGCTATCTTAAGACAGACTGGAAGCGTCACCGATACGATACGTCTGCTCTTCCTACTTATGGTGTCTGAATAAGTGCATATGAAAACTGATTACACTGAAAAAGTTACGCGTAGCTTTTGATTTCTCTCTATCTCTCTCTCTCTCTCTCGCTCTCTCTCTATCCCCCGTGCTCTCTCTATCACTTGCTCTCTCTCTCCCCCCCTCTCTCTCTTACTCACCCCCCCCCCCTCTCTCGCTCTTTCCCTCGTGCGCGCTCTCNCCTTGTTGTACATGTATCCGCGCATTGGTTCTCTGCCTGTGTGTGAATTGGAAAATTGGTGCGTCTGGGTGTCAACCCGTAATAAACAGCCGGGCTTGTCCCGTCATATTATCACTCCACTTCTATCTTCGGCCCTCTTTCTGAATTTCACGTCTTCTGCAAGCTTTTCCTTTACGAGCTGACTTCTGGTGTAGATGTAGCGCCGTCTTCGACAGCGTACGAATAGTGTGACTGTGTTACAACGTTAAGTCAGAGCCAAGAATAAGAGAAAGCCAGTGGTTACCATGATTTAGACGTTTACTATGATTTCTGCGAGTGGTTACAGCCGTTGTCGCGGTCGTGTCTGCCGGTGCCTGGGTGAAGCCGAATTCCTCGATTCTCCCCGGCCCTCCTCTTATATAGGCAGCCACGACCGCGCCTTGCGTGCGTCACGCGCGCGTCATCTACTCTACCGCGACGTTATGTTGATACAGGCCCTCGTTAGGGCTCTATTCATCTCCCGAGC